TCCCTGCAGTGGTTAAGAGGTTAAAAATAGTAAATATGTTAGAAGAACAAATAAAAACTTCCCCTTACACATGCAATGTGTGCTAGTAAAGTAATAAAATCATTTAAAAGAGAAAGATTCCTGTTCTTGGCAAAAGTATTTTGTCTTGGAGGCAACTCTTTAATGCTAAATGACAGTAAAGGCTTTCCTGACATTGGGAAGTCTTTTGAAAAACCTATCCAACACACTTCCTCTCTTGCTATCAGAAAGTATCAAATGAAGCAAGCTACAGAAATAAAAAAGAAGGAAGCTCTAAATCACTATTAATTTACTTGTTTGACAGTATTTTCTTTGTCCTCTGATGATATAATCGAGCAATAAAAAACCAATATAATAAAAAGCTTCACAGAGTTCAAGTGGTTTTTTACTGTATAGAAAGAGCTAACACTTCAACAGGGTATCTGGAACATCTAACACTGTACCTGACCACGAAAGCAAGAAGAGTTATGCCCCCTTATTATCACTTATCTAGCTTTTGATATTGAAACTAATGTTGTATCAATTCCACATCTCCTTCTTTAACAAAATAAATCTAACAGAAAATTCCACTGCAGTTTGTCCTACATTAAAAGCATTCCTCAGAAACTAGCAGGAGTTCAAACTTCTCAGTGTAGCATCTGCTACTCTGTAACAAATGCAAGATCTGAATAAATAGAATTGTGGCATTCATTCACAAATTGCATTGCTGACAAGCCTCCCAGACAGAATCAAACCCCAAGGAGTATCGATTGCTACACTTAAGGCAATGTAGTGATCTAGATCTTAAACATTTACTCGAGTGCCTCAAGACTTCCCAAAACTTCTACTTTTCAGGCTGAGCTCTTTCAAGTCACATGGAGCAGTTCAAAGGTAACAGACTTTCAGGAATTTTCAGTAAAGAAAATAATAGTCTGAGGTAGAATGGAAAGTGAAGCAACAAGGAGAATAAAAACAGGGTAAAGTTGTATTTATACATGTATTTTTAAAGATTCTTATGCTAACTCAATAAATGAGAAACAAGTATTTAAGTGCTGAAGTGGCTGAATGGGAGGGGAAAACCAACACACGTACACACAGGAATGAGCAAAATTCCTTTAAACATTCCAGTGCAAATGAATTGACTTGTCCAAGGTAGTCACGTCCAAAAATAATCATAGGACAAATGTGTACTGGGCAAACTTGTAAGTTATAGACCTAACTCTGTCATTTTAAACTGAGTCTACACTGCTGTAGTATTTAGTTCGGATATGAATGAGCCATTGTCTCTCCAGGAACTCCTAAAATCCTTTCCTCATTCCTTTGTATCTTAAATTAAGAAGGATGCACTTTCCTTTTTATTTCACAGAGTGTGAGTGAGGACATTCTGCTGCCATATGTGGCTAAACAGTCCCCCAAAACTGACTTCTTTACACATGAAAACTCCACTTACAATACATGTAAATATTGGAGTCTCAAAGGGCCCATCCATCTGACTGAACCCTGAGGTTCACCCTGCTTTGAGCAGGGGGCTAGGCCAGACGACCTCTAAAGGACCCTTCCAAACTAAATTATGTTGTAAACAACTGCAATGACTGAAAGCTCAACCTTAACTCTGCCCTTTTAAGCAGATGCCACCAAAACACACTATTATTGCATCTAATTATATCAATCCTTCTCTTCCTTCAAACACTGAAGCGTCAGTATCCAGCAACTCCCTTGAAAATGAACTAAACTCTCGGAGCAGCCTCATACATCTCTAGGAAACTCTTGCACAGAGGACTTCTTCACCATGGTGTGTGTTTTGGCAGTGCAGTCTTCTCATGTGGAATTACCTCTAAATTTACATGAGGGCTGTCCAGTGAAGTCAATGGACAGAAGTATAAAATCAGGGTCTGGGTCACCAGCAGCTCCATACTATCACTGCAAGCAGCTTGACAGTGTTCCTCAGGTGCATTTCAGGGTACATAACAATTTATAAGAAACTAATTAAGGCCTAGAAATCCTGAGAACACAGCTTCCTACTCAAGCTGTACTAGAGTTGACAAGGACTTGCCAGACCAAGTTACATTTGCTCATTTACACTGTAACACTGGTAAATTATTCTGTGTATCAACATCTGACTATTTATTTTCCCAAACAACTGCAACAGAATCCAAAATATCACAGGGAGTTTCAGTAAGGTGCTACATCGCTTAGGTGTACTGGAGACCATTCACGAACCAGCAGCAACCTGTCACGTAACTCAGGAGTGAATCACAACAGCAATGCCCTCAATGGGGCAGAGTTAAGGTTGAGCACAGCGTTAGCCAGCTTCTTTTGGGATGCCCGTGGTGCACTTTACAGTTCTGCCACTGTTAATACTTCAAGGTGAAATACGCACTCTGTCCCCCTAAGAAATGTATTGCTAAAACCAGCGAGAACTGTGGAATAAAAATGTTTTTTACACTGAGCATCCATTAAAGCAACATGTTGCTAAAACAACAACCGCCCCCCAAAAAAACACAAAAAACCCCCCTAAAACCCAAAGTAAGACCCCTAATCACTATTTACAGCATCTGTACACTGAATTCCAAGGCATTTGCTGAATCTAGAACACCATTATTCTGAGTGACCTGAAGTGTTATTATTGTCAAATAACAGCTTTTTGATTCAGTTGCAAAAGAAATTAAAATAAATAAATCCCACCGAAAAGTAGCGTTCACGTGGGACATACGGTGTGTTTGCGTATCACACACCAGGAAATAAAAAAAAACAACCCACCCAAACTCCTCCAGTGAACTGAACTAAAAAAATCAATCCGAAAGAAGTACAGATTAGGCCGTGTAATTTAAAAAAAAAAAAAAAATAGCAACACACGCCGAACTCTATTCGCACAATGAAGGCAATTGTTCGTCGGCCCAAAAAAAGCCGTGGCTTCCCCCGGCGCGGCGGTCAGGAGGTCGGGGCCGCGGGCGGCCGCAGCCGCAACCCCGCGGCGGGGGCAGCGCGGGGCCGGGGCCGCGGGGCCGAGCGGAGCCCCCTCCGCCGCCTCATCCGCGGCGCGCCCGGGCGAGCCAAGATGGAGCCCAGGTTTGATGTCAGCCCCAGGGGCGGGCGGAGGGCAGCGCCGGGGCGGGGGCGAGGGCAAGGTCAGCCGCCAGCCCGGCGCGGCCCCGCCGCCTCCGCCCGCCCCGAGAGCCCCCGCGGGGCTCCTGCCGAGCCGGTTCCCCCCCACCTCCCGCCCCATCACCGCCCCTCCACGGCCGCGCACGGCCCTGCGCGCCCGGGCTTGGCCCCTGCCCCCGCCCGCCGCGCCGGGGCCGGGGCGCTGCAGAGGCGGGCGCCGAGCTCCCGCTGCCCCCCCCGAGCCGAGCCCAGCCGAGCCCAGCCGAGCTGTGCCAGCCGCGCTCTGCGCGGGGAATCGGCGTTACCGGCTCGGCTCCCCAGCCGAAGGGCTACGCGGGGGCAAACGGCAATAGGAAGGGATGGGGAGGGGGGAGACGGGGGAATAACCTCCCCGCCCAAAAACCCAAACATCAACCCCCCCACAAGCAAAGCCCACCGCAACTCAAGCCCTTTTGACTCGACTCGGGAGGAAAGGAAAAGGAGTGACAAATATCTGCGGGGCTGCAAGTGCCGCCTCCCCCCCCCTCGCCCCCAGCCCGGCGCCCCCCCTCGCCGACACCCCCATCCCGGCGCTGGAAGGGCGCTGGGAGCGCTGCCCCGGCCCCTCCGCCCGCAGAGCGGGGCGGGGGACGCGCCGCGCTCCGCCCGCAGCGGCGCCCCGCGGGCAGGGGCAGGAGCCGCCCCGGTGAACTCCCGGTGACCGAGCCCGGCTCCGGCACCGGCGGCTCAGCCCTCGCCCTGCCCCGAGCACGGCGCGGAAGGGCCGCAGGCACGCTCCGAGCAGATGTGCCGGGGACAGACAAACAGACAAATGACCCCTCCATCCACCCCCCGCTCTCCTTAAATCAGCCCTGGGGCCACGCAGGGGCAGGGTATTTTTAGGTCTCTTCCCTTCCCCTCCGCCTCCCTCTCAATAGCTGCCGAGCGCTGAATACGAGGAGAGGGTGGAGAGCGAGCGGCAGAAAAGTTAACTGTTTTGCAAAGAGGGGAGAAAAGAGGCAGGGAGGGAGGAGGGAGCCAGCAGGGCAGGGTGAGCCGTGTCAGGGGATGTGTGTGTGTCTGTATGTGTGTGTCTGTGTGTGTGTAAGCGCAGAGGGTGCCCGCGGGCGGAGGATCGGATGCACTTTAGCCCTGTGCTCTGCTGCTCTCGTCTGGGGCAGCGCCGCCGGAGCCTGAGTCTCGCCTGGTTCGCCTGACCCTTCATTTCACTGCGGCCAGGAGGAGCCCGGAGCCCGCCGCCGCCTCCTCTCCCTGCTCTGCAGGGACCTCGCCTGCCACGGTCTGCCTCCCCGCCGCCCCCTCCCACGCCGCCGCCGGCGGCCGCGGCCCCCTCCGGGGTGGCCCCGGGGTCGGTGCGGGTGCCCCCGCCGGCCCCCTCCGCGGCCGCTGCCCGCCTGCGCCCCGCTCCCGGGCCGCCCAGCCCCGCCGCAACCTTTAGCCGGGGACGGACCTCTCGGCTGGTTCCGCACAAGACGCCAGCAGCCGCTTCCCCTCTCGCCGCCCTCCCCTCCGGTGTTTAGCCCCCCTCCCCACCCCAATAAAACAGACCCCCCCTCCCTCCGGCCCCAAAGAGAAACCCACACCGCCCCCCCCCGCCCCCCCACCCTCAGCACAAATGCACAATCACGGGCGAGGGGAGGGAGAGGGAGGAAAGGGCGAGAGACGCGAAGAAAGAAGGGGGGAAAGGAGAGAGAGGAAAAATTAAAAGGGCACAAGGCTGTTCATCACCAACATGGCTGCCTTAGCTCAGACCTAAAAGAGGAATAACCCAGGCTGTGTCTTTGTCAGTTTCACCTCTGTAACCCTAAACTAAAGCACGAAACGACGGAGGCGGCTGCAGAGGGGAAGGAGACGGGGAGAGGAGGAAGGAGAAAATGGCAAAAAGAGGGGGCACTTACGTGAAGAGAGGCGCTTGGGCTGCTCCTGCTTCCTCCTGGGCATTTTCCCCCTTTTTTCACATTCTCCTCCTTGGTTTAACGGGAGATCAAATAAGACCGGGAGGGGGGGGCACGGACGGGCACAAAGCCGGGGCCCCCGGGGGAGCTGCTAACCGGGGCGGGTTTTCCCCTCTTCGCCGGGGGAAAGGGGGCTTGAAGCCGGTTTTCCCGGAGCCACCGCGAAGGGCTCCCTCTCCCCCTTCTCTCTCTTTCTTTTCCTCTCCCCCCCACCCCCCCTACCCCCCCCCCCGCCCCCTAACCCCCCCCCCCCCCCCGCAACCCGGTCGTGCACCTGGCTTGTCCCCGGTCGCAGTATCCCTCAGCGGCCGGGGATGTGTTTCCCGGCGGGCGGGCGGGCGCCGTGCCGGGGCGAGGGGGCTGGCGCGGCGGTGCCGAGGGCTGCGCCCCGCGCTCCTGCCGGCCCCTAACTAACACTAACGCCGGGATCAAAGGGCAGCGGCGGCGGCGCTCCCGGCGCGCCCGCGGGCGGGCAGGGACACCCGCGCACACCCCCGCACAGCCCCGGCGGGCGGGCACACGCGCGGGCACACGCACCGACACACGCGCGCCCCGGCGGGGCAAGAGGGGACGGTGCCCCCGCTCCCCGCGGGCCCCGGGCGCGGCGCTGCGCGGCGCGGCGCGGCGGGCGGAGGATGCGCTGCCCCCGGTCCTGCACCCGCTGCTAATCCTCTCTTACCGAAAAAAAAAAAAAATTAAAAAAAAAATTTAAAAAAAAAAAAAAGGTGTATATGTAAATTTGTGGGTCTCGACCGTTCGCGCTGTGATTCCCTGGTTTGCGGTGGGAGAGAAAATAATAATGTCAAACATTTTTTCTTTTTTTTTTCTATTTTTTTTTAATTAAGACGTTTTGTCTTCCTGTGTGTTAGAAACTGAAAAAAAAAAAAAATTGTAGTGGTGCAAAGCTCACCTCCATAAAATTTGTTGGATGTGACCAGCACAAGGGGCCCGAGGGGCTTTGCTGCAGCCGAACTTCAGTTCAGTGTAGGGAGGAGGAGAGAATGGTTTATATACGACCCCCTCCGTGCCAAAATAAGCACACAAAATAAGAAGGGAAGGTGGGCAAGTTGGTATTCTGACGATTTCTAATGCAGGTTTTAAAAAGTGGGAAGAATGCAAGCAGCGTGAAAATCACAACTCCTTGAGAGTGAGTGTGTGTGTGTGTGTGTGTGTGTGTGTGTGCGCGCGTGTGTGTAGGGGGGAGGAAATCAAGATTAGGTCACCCCTAATGGTTGATTTAACTGCTACATGATACTTCTACAGTGCACACAGCAAACTGGACTTCTGAAATTTACTTTTTTTTTTCCCCCTGCTATAATGCAGGTATATGAAGCTTTATCCTGAAGCGATTCCAGTGTGCACTATGAAGCCAGGATAGCAGTTTTCATTAACTGATACATACTTTCATTACTTCACAAATCACACATCTTTCTTCAAAGACAGACATGAAGGTGGGGAAAAAAAATAGAAGAAAGATTGGGTCTCACTAAAGCACAAAAGGTACTCCGTGAAAGAGAAGTACTCTCTTTGTGACTTGCAGTCATTTGGATAAAAGTTAACACAGAGGTTCTTAATGGTTTAAACTCCAAAACCTGTTACTACAATTGAAGTAAAATGATTTGAAGCACGGTTGTTTCATATAGCTCTCTCTTTGTGTAAGAAAACTTTGAACTTAGCGGAATACATAATAGAAATCATGAGTCAGATGTTGCAAAACTTAAAAATATGCATTATTCTAGCATGTATACCTGTGAGAATTTTTTTGCTTTTGACAACCTGACTCATCATTTTATCACACCATCCTCTATCCTAACTTCAAAAAATTTTTTTAAAATAAACAGTTGCCTAGGAAAACACAAACCAGCAAATTTGCAACCTAAATATTTTAGAACAGTCAACTTACACTCTTAATCACCTCAATTTAGAATGGTTTCACATAATCTTATACCCATTTCACAGCCGCAATTATCCTTTCTAGAGGAAAAAATCTAAATAAGACTTAAAAGATTATATGTATGACAAGCTGAGGTCATGCGTGTGCAATTTCGAGTTTCAAAACCACATGTACACATCTGCTGAGACAAAACAGACTCCTCCTGACTTCAGCTGGTTTATCACTTCACAATACAGCTAAAATACTTCATTTTCATGGAGAAATTTGCTTATATTTAATACAAAAGTAAAAACCAAGGTGTATAACTGACAGTACTAGAGATTTCTAGAGGGAAAGATGAGTCCCAACAGCTGCCTGACTCTTGCTCATGACCAAGAGTACCAGAGTCAGAATTCCTCAGAATATTCAGGTCCTGTCTTTTCCCTCAGTTCTCCAGTTTATACTGGTTTTGGAGATTTGTACAGCATTAGTAGTGATAACCAAAAATATCAGAGGCATTCTTTACCATTGCTCACTAACCTCAACTTTAACATACCTGAGACTAACAACAGAACTTTGTTCACTAATAAGAGTTGCAATGCTGAACCTACTTACTTATTTTTTAAATGCATTCTAAAGTCAATTGTGCTAAACTAAGCCAGCTTTATGATCAGCATCTGAATGATCCTACCAGTGCAGGAGGCCACAAAGTAGCCATTTTGAAAAGGGAAAGAGTACTAGCCCTGTGATATGATCCACAGCTGCTGTGGCAGCCCTCCTTCAGGTGCTCTAGGAGAACAGGACATGGGAAATACCATGTTCTGCACTGTCACTCTTTCCACCCTCTACTCCTCATGTGTTTCTGGCACGTAAATTAATGTTGACATTGTCAGCATTAATTTACAATATGCTGTGCGAGTTTTTTTCCCCTCCATCATTTGAAAACCCCTCAAGGCGGGGTTGAGGTGGCTGCAGCAAAGACACTATGGGAACACAGCTCTCTGAAAGGGCCATGGGGACTGGCACAATACAGAACAGCATTAAATCTCTCGAAGGGTGACCTTGGCTTCGATAGACACCCCAAAAGTTTGCCTGGGAGTTTAGTGGGCCAATACTTAAGCGTGTTCTGCACTGAAAGAAATCCCAGTGGTTGAATGAATTATCAGGGAGAAACTTAATAAATTCAAGATTTGAAGGGTTTCTAACCCCACACCTGGAAATTCCAAACTCCATTTGGGAACAACTTGCTTCCTCATATCTATCCTGGCTAATTTTATTACTCCACATATTGTCCTAGTCAATAGACAGTATCCAGCCATCACACTGAAATCATAGGCACATCAGTCCTAACTTTGAATTATTTTACACATTGGTTTAAGGAAGATGACTAAGGCCATAATGCCATTTAAAAAATAATCTTCCATTATGTGTTTAGTGATACAGTACAAAAAAGAATTAAGTCGGCTGACCACGCTTTTGAACATTTTTAATCCAAACAGAAGAAAATAGTAGCAATTCTTCCACAGATAACATAATATAAATAATGCATCGTTTCTGCAGGTCCTTCTATTAATAAGTAATGATTGTATGGCACCTTCCAAACACCAAATCTAGTTACACATATGAATTAAGTTCAGCTTCAGAATCCACTCTCGAACAAAGTAAATATTTTCTTCACTTACACATGAGAAAAATGAAACAAATTGAGTAAATAAGGTTTTAAACAGTAATAAATGATGTAACATTCTTAAAACCTTTGCAGGGTATCTAGCATCCAAACTGTCTTTATGCAATGTAAAAAATACTTGAAAAGGTTTTCTAAACAGAAACTGAAAAATTAGCTGGCATCCTTGCTTTATTCTTTGAAACTTTAAGGAGTTCTGTTCCCAGGCTCAGATTTTTTTAAAGAAGTGTACTGAGTGGAAAAATGGGACCATTTTGACCAGTTCTTGGGCCCGCCAAACCAAACTATGCCCACCTCTACCTAAAGTATAGCCTACCAAAATGATGGTCAGGTCAGATGTGTGTTCCCCTGAGCATGCAGAGGAGAGTTTTTCAGGCTCCACGGGCTCTTTTTAATGGTACTCCTATCTTTGGATTAATTTCCTATTGAACACAGAAGGTATTTGCCTACAGCCTCTGTATCTTCAATGCGCAACATGAGGCCTTCTGGTTTTCATTGAAATTACCATCTCTCTCTCACACCTGTTGCAGGATACCCTTAACAGTCTACTTCTCTTTTCTGTTTTAATTGATGTCAATATTTCTATGCTTAGCAGTAACTATGATCTAATCCTGCAAACAAGATTTGGTTATAAACTTCTCTTTGCTCTGAAGCATTTAAAAGGCAAATGCAAAGGGATGAACAAATCCATAGGATAACAGCTCATGGATGCCATCAGCCACGTTTGCAAATGCTCTGTAAGCAAATAACATTAACTAGTACGTTTGCAATAATAATAAATAATGACAAGTGACTGGCAAGGCCACCAACCAACTCCTCAAAGGCCAATGAACAATGATCAGAAACCATTGCTGTCCGATGAGTATCATCTTGGAACTCAGAAACCATTGCTTTCCGATGAGTATCATCTTGGAACTCATAAACCATTATAAGTGGGAGATGCATTTGCTTAACCAGCAGATCCTAAATGACAGACATAGGGCTCTAGCTTTTGTAAAAGGCAATGAAGTTCTTCTTCTCCAAAATTTTTAACCCTTTTCTTCTTAAAATGAAAGGAAAATGAAAGTGTCACAGCCCATTCTAAGTAAAAACTCTTTTTGCAACCCTGGAAATCACTGGCAGTGCTCTCCCAAATCTTTAGCTCCCTATGCTGTGCTTGTGAACATATTGAATCAGAAATGTCCTTAAAGACCAAGATTTTCATGAATTCCACTACAACCTCACAGCCTCAGAGTGGAAAGGCATCAGGGAGGAGGAGTTCAATATAACCTACCTAACCTCGCTAAACCACAACCAGCTTTCTCAGTATCTGGCCTAAATCTTGGTAAACCTACTGGCCATCATAACTTTAAGACAATTTCAACACAAAATGCTTCTAACTGAAATGCAAATCTAACATATTAATATTTCTTCAGAAGAACCATAGTTTTTATATTTTTCAGCTAACTGCATAAATGTGTAGCACACCACCTAGGAAAGGTGATACAGCTCCTAATTTCAATTAAAAAAAAAAAAATCAACACTTAAAGTTGGCAGCCTTAAACCCATGCTGATATACAATACTAGACATTACAGGCCAGAAATGCATTGGATCACACATTAGTGTCCACATGCGTTCGTTGTTACTCA